CTGGTGGCTCCAGTGGCCCCAAGCAAAAAGGAAACTGTAAAATGAGGCTCCTGGCGATATTTATAATGTTCAGCTCATGGCTGGATATCCTTAAGGTGGGCAAAAGTAGAGTTCACAGCCAGTTCTGTAAATACTCTTAGGAATGTGTGCCCTGAAGACAGAGGTACAAGTTGCCACATTGGTGCACTTCAGTGGGTGGAAGAATCCACTGGTTCTTCCTTCAAATCTCATCCTTGAGCACTCCTTCTAGTGTTACGTGTGCAGGTCATGGTAGCACAGAAGAGGGAGAAGGGATTAGGAGATCTGTAACATCTTTTCTTCTGTTCCATCGCTGTGTGCACTTACGTTTTGGCCTTAATCTGCCCTGAGCCCATGTATGGGTGTGGGCAGGTGGGGCTGGAAGAGAGTCCTTTCTTCTGTGGAGGTCGGGGCAGGAAGCGAGCCACTGCGTTTGGGGTCTTTTGCCACATGTTTCTGTGCCTCCCTTTCTTTGCTGAAGGAAGGAGAAGCAATCCGTCTTCCCCGGGTCTCCTGATACAGTCTGAGAACTGAGGTTCGTTTCTTGGAGACAGTCACAAAAGATGAAGACCTCTTCATCCAAGACTGAGGAACTAGAGCCTGGCACACAGGAGACGCTTCGGTTCAAACTCCAGCACAAGCCCTTGCAGAGTCTCTCTTCAAAGGGACAGTAGCAGCAGCATTTGGATGCTCCTTTTTAGTGGCAACTGGGAACTCTGAACCCTGAAGCATTTCTGAAGATCTTGGCCCCTAGCTTCTTCTCTTTGCCTGTTTGAGACTCTGCTATGTCTTCCTGTTTCATGCAAAGGAGAAGACACTGCATGATATACATGCTCAGACAACCCCGAAGACCACATTGCTTCCAATGGCCTTTTAACCCTTGGGATTTTAATTTTGAACACAGGTCACATGGATTGAGAGAAACTCTGCAGGCCACAGAACCTCTGCTTGTGTGTGAAGATAAAGACTAAGGATTGCTAATTTCTGAAAAGTCTCAGTCAAATACTGTCTAGTTAATCCTGTAGCTGCTGCTGAATAAAATCACCAAACGGTCAGGTGTTGAGGAGCGAGAACTGCTGCTTATTGATGAGTGAAATAGGCGTTTGTTCTATCAATAGGTGCAGACAGAGCTGGAAGCCCTACCGGATCAGGCAGCAGCATGGAACCTAGCAGCATTGACATACGTCACATACAGGACTGAGCAAGAAAGGGATTGACAGATGAAATGTCACTACGTTACATCAGAGGCAGGTAAGGTTAGCTTTAGAAAACCCCCAAAGATTTTAAAGCCAGATAGTCAAGTTGTCTCTGAAAGGTCACTGCTGACTCTAGAGGTTTAGGCTTGGCATGTACAACTGTTGTCTGTGATCTGACTGTAAATGTTCCATTGTCTGGCAGTGCATGACTGTAATGCTTGAACAAGAATGAAAACATGTAGAGACCAATTCAGAAAAAACATTCAAAAAAGATAGAGGGAAATAAATTATTAGTTCCTATTCTGATAAACACCGGGTGTCAGATACCACGTACGCTAACTGCGTGCCTGCAGCCTTTGCCAGGCTTAGGTTCCCTTGTGTACCACCTGCCAGTTGTCTCGGTAGGACCTTTGGAGGTCCCTTCTCTATTGCTGTGATTATGATGCTGAGCAGAAGTCTGATTAATGTTCGTATTTGATATTTAGGCAGTGCTAGTTATTAATGTCCATCTCTGAGCTTCAGGGGAATGGCCAATTCCTCCATCTGGAACCACTACGCTGCCCGTGTCCTTTCTGAAAGACATGGTCTAGTCTATTGCTACTGCCATACTTCTAAAGATGAAGAAAGTAAGGCATCAGGAGACTAAGTGTGGTGCCTAACTTAGAGACCTGGTCTTCTACCACTCAAGTCTTTCTGTTAGTTATAAAATTACCCATCCCAGCTGTTGGAAGTAACAGTTCTTCCTCTTCGTTATTCAGCAGCATTAGTTATCAGTGGCTGGTGTGCCAGATATTCCAGGGTATGGCCTTGAGGTGTAACTTCCAGAAAGTGAGGCTAAATGACTCTCAGCTCCTCAGGACCCCAGCTTTGGCATCAGAACAACTGCCAGGGTCCTAACAGGGTTTGTCTCCTCCACGTTAGTATTGATAGTGGGCCTCCACCCAGGGTACAAGTACACATAACAAAGCCTCAGGGAGTTTCTGGGGAGTCTGAGCTGCTCCCCTGGGCAAGTCTCTCAGCAACATACAGAGCTGATCCCATCTCTTCCTATTCCTGAGTTACATTTTTCTCAGCACACTTCATGAATAAATGATTTGTCAGGGTTACTCCTAAGACCATTTGTGACATGTTCCATGATTTCTATCAGTGTTGCCAGCTACTCTAAGAGGGTTTGCAGCCCTTTCATGTTTGTAGGGAGCCTACACACTATCTTTTAATGAAACTGGAAGCACCTGACCTCAAAGGTGGGTGCTGCTGGGACGATGAAGAAATCTTGATTTCAAGATATCTGGCTTTCCTTTGTGGGTCTTTTATTCTTGCTTTCTTCATGCAGGTGAGACTAAATACCTCTTTTACAGACTCTGAGAAAGACTTACAGAGCCAGGGACAGTGCTGGGCTGAATGGTGTATCCCCTCCTGTCCACAATCTCTTTATGGACGCAGTGAGGAGCTTCTAAAAGTTGCTGGTGCCACTTTTCCCCACTCTACCAGCCTGTGCTGGGGAAGGGGCAAAGGGTAGGAGAAGGTGGAAGGGAGAGTTTGGCTAGCACGCCGTTTACAAGAGCAGTACCAGCACTTGTTATCAGGGCAGATGTGGGCTGCTCGGCCCCCAGGAATGCTGGCTGCAGCCACAGTAAGGTGGAGGGGCTTAGTGTGCTCCAGGTATTCCTTGCCCTATTATGTGAGGAAGAGTATTTTCAAATGGTATTGCAGCCAGCATGCCCTGGGGTGAATCTTAATGTAACCGCATAGTCAGGATTTTGAAACAAGTTCTCCTTATTCTTCTAAGAGCCAGGGACAATAAAAATATCCTCAGGGTCGGTCAGGGCTTGTGTGCAATTCAGAAATGGTCATAACTGATTGGACTGCAGAGTATATTGCTGCAGTGTCCAAGCGCTTTGCCTAATAACTTGTCTTCATCATAAGACTATGCAGAGTTGTGAAGAGGGTGGGACAAAGTTTTGTATGCTGCTGAGTGCGCCGTGTTTTCTGTACAGGGGCCTGACCAGTACCTGTAAACCTTCCCTGTCTCTGTGTTGCCCAAGCATTGTGGTTGTGCTGTTTGGAGGAGCTGGTGAAAGGAATCCTGACTTGGGGGACTGCCCCCAAGAACTGTGGTGTCCAGGACTCTCCGTGGCCAGCTGGGCAGCAGCTGCGGCAGGCAGCGTGTCTGTGTTTCCAGTGTAGCGTGAGTGGTACAGGCTGTGACAAATTTGAGGAGCAGTGTTGTGTGGGAAGAGGAGGGGATCTCCTGTGTGGCAGAAATACAAAGTAGGAGGCTTTTAGTTTCCGAAACATACCAGTTGGCCGTCGAGGGGCATTATGTGGGAAAAACTGACGGCAGAGACCTCTGTCTTTTGTCTGCTTGCAGCTAGTTTGGATGTCATCTTTTGATAGAAAGGTTTCACCTAGCACATTTAAGAGTACAAGCAGCTTTGCAGCATGCATTTTTAAAACTAGAAGGGTCTGTTGCATACCAAACCTATCTGATTGTTTCCAACCCGTGACAGGAACACAGGTAGATCCCTGAATAGACCAAAGGCTAAGTGAAAAGTGTGTTGACTGACCTACTCTTTGAGAGCCGTAGATGAATCTTCAGGAAGAAAGCGTAGAACACACTGAAGGAAGAGTGATGATGTCTGTGTGGGAAGTTTGTTCAGGCTTCATTGGCTGTGTATTAAACTAAGGAATTGACAGGGCAAATGTCAAATGCTGTAGGCATGGCGTTTTCTAGAGGCACTCATCTCTCTTTGCAGGTCTGGCTCTCCCTTGCCTTGACCTATTTGTCATCACACGCAGTGTGGAAAAGAATCGTTAAAAACTGCTTCTGCCTCAGAGTTCATCTGTTCAGTTGAGAATGAGGTTGGATTTTAAATACTATCTTCACTGTGCACACATAAAAGCAACCACAAGCTACAGGGATAGAAGCAAACTCTAGGGTACAGCGGAAATAGAAGTGGGGGGGAAGCAAGCAGGCTGTCTGCACATAAAGCAGAGATGGAAGTTTGCGTATGATTTTGTGTAAGGCAAGACATTTTGGAATTGAAACCCAGCAGCAGGTGATGATTACAGGCAACACGTCTGTGCCTATGTACAATTTTGCTGAGCAACTGTCTTTTGTTACCTAAATCCCAGGGGCCTGAGGGTCAGAGGAGCTGTACGTGTCTCTAAAGAGCCCATTGCAGCCATTTTCAGTTTTGGTACCAGGGCTGATCTTGCAGCCTGTGGGGAGGACAGCATTCTTTTGTTTGGTTTCACGGTATCCGTATGGAGTTACACTGGCTCTGGAAAATAATTCAAGAGTCTCCTGATCCAGAGTGAAGGAAGCTGAAAATAATTAACAGAATCAGAATCAGAAAATCTGAGTGGATGGATGGACTTACTATACATTGCAATCTGATAGTTAAATCTTCAAGGTTTCTAGACTCATTAGGAACTGTAAGTCAGAATGAAAGTATCTGAGAGCGCTGAAGTTCACACACTAATTTAACTTGCCTTAATTTTCAATTGTATATCAACTTGCAAAACCCTTTGAAAATCAAATTACATGATACTACATCGTGCTCCTAACCTGCTGCTCTCTTAATGGAGTCACTGATGCATGGCTGCTTAACCCTGCTTTTTTAAGAATTTGATGACGTAAAATAAAATCTTTTCCCCGCCCCAAAAAAACCAGGAAGAGTGCAGCCACAAAAAGCACAGTGCCTTCCCACGGTGTCAG